TCACTACAAGCAAGTTGAGACGGTCATCCAGAGAACAAAGCAAACGTACGAGGAGAAAGGTTGAAATGATTCCCTTTCTTGTATACCCCCTCATTCATCTTCTGTATCTTGACAAAACAAACATCATAACCGACTCACGTTTGAGAGGGACGTAATGATTATGACCATCATTTACTATGTATTGGTAAATCACATTCTACAGAACATCAACGATACTCACACACCCGACTACACAAGCATATAAAAAATGTATCATTACGAATTCTCTCTTTTGCGTGCTTTCCTGTTTGGTTATTTCATGTGCTTTCAAATTCCCTTTCCATGGTTCATCTGCGTGCTCAGCGAGATGGTATAACAAGCATTATTATTTTATTGAATGTATACATCCAAAACACTAATTTTCCTCACTAGCATTCATTTTAGCTAATTTTTTCCTTTTCTGATTTTTTCTTCTACTCAATATTATATTTTTTGCTTCAAAGGAACTTTCAGGAATTATGTTCCTGGATTATTTGATGTAATTGTTCTGATTTATTTTTTCATCAAATTAAATCACCCTGGCACTGAAAATAAACCGCCTTTGGTATATCAAAATCAAATAGCGTCTTAAGGCCTAAGGTATAGAGATCGAAGCGAAATGATAATCTCATATCAAGACCAACAATTGAAATGGCCTTAACTCCATTTTGTAAACAAACCTTGTAAGGCCATTTTCTCGCGAACAGAAACCATTCATAATTGGGAATTGCACAACAAAATCACATGAACCTTATGTGTCAAATGAAATTTAAGTGATTTATCATATAGAACTCATGTGATCACATGAATGTTGTGAAATTGAGATAAATTATCATTGGTTTTGTTAATGGAAAAATATTATGTGCATTCCCAATGGAAACTACATGAAAACTTTTTCCGTGTAAGTCAGATTTTCACTTCACTGGAGGTGGAACTGCACTCAAAAAATTTATCACATATCTTGTAACCGTTTGGTCACAAATTTTTGTCATTTATGTTATATATTCAGAACCTTCACGTTTCTTATGCAAAAACAGCAGTATACCACAGAAGTAAGGGATGAATGAAGGAAAATTGGGAGAAAAGAACGGCCATTGCCCAAAATCGGGCTCTTTAATATCAGACGTCCGTGTGCTAAGACGCATTTTAATTAGCTAAGTGCAGTGGTTGCTGTTTTTGAACGTCATACGCACTCGCCCTTGCACGGTAAGCAGAACTCTCGTGGTTCGCGGTGAGCCAGGAACGTACATACTCTGCCAGATAGCTACCTTTGGGCCACACCATCGTAGCGGGAAGTGAAGTGGTATTCTTCCAGTCGATTGCGCCATTCACTGCAGCATCTCCATCATCGTCCTCGTTGTCGTTACAGTTTTTGAGCGGTGGTTTGCCAGTCGGTCGTCGGTGGTTTTAAACGATATAGTTTGCCCGTCGGTCACTAGTGGTTGGTCACGGCGCCATATTTTTTTTATATATCTTTATTAAGGAGACTTTCAGCCCTGGGCTGGTTCGTCTCCAGTACGGCACCATATGATCGCGGACGGGAGAGATCCCTACGTTGTGTTTATTTGCTAATCTTTCAATTTTTGATCCCGATCGAGACGGACAGTAATGAAAAGCACCGATTGCTTTACCGTGCTGCCATGGCGGAGGCATACGAGACACTAGTTTATTGTTTCTCTGTTTTGTATATTGTAGTGGTACAGTGGGTAGGGTAGTTGCACATATAGATGATATTGCACAAACACACGTATTAAAATGCAAATACTGAATTCCTTGCAAAGAAAGCAATTGACAACTTGTTTAAAAAGAATTTCTTCCAACGAGACTGGGAAGCCGAGCATGCGCAAGCATTGAAAACACACAAATACATTGACAAAATGAGTCTGTGTATGTTTTGGAAAAGTGTTGCTTTTAAATTTACAATATATTTTTAAAAAGTAGTTAAAATAATATTTGAAGACAAAAATATATTTTATTGAATCTACAATATATTTGTTTTCATAATTTGCAATGAAAACAACACAAAACATTTTTGAAGCTACAAAATATAAATATTGAATTCAAAAACAGTTGTATTTGACATTGCAAAATATTTCAAAATATTTTTTTTTGGTCAATAAGGTCAATTTGCGTGAATAAATGCGTTTAAAGAAAAGTGAAAGTTCTTCGTTTTTGTATCGCGAAACCCTCTGATTACCTGGTAGCTAGCCGGACCCTGGGTGTTCTAAAGCCCTACAGTAAAAGTATGGACGACTGTCACCACAAAACTGAACAAAGCTGTTCCAATCGAGCAAAGCGGTGCATTTTGACGGTTCGATTGGAACAACTTTTGACAGACGTCCATACTTTTACTGTAGGGCTTTAGGGTGTTCCGGAGCTTGCTCTTGTTGCCTGAGTCGACCGGGTGCTGTATGTTTGATCTCCGAGTAGGTAGTTGGTGAATGCTGAGTTCTTACATCAGTTATAATCTATTGGATGAAAACCATGTGAATTTCACATAGCTAAAAATCTCACCACAAAATCACATGAATACTATGAGGCCGATGAAATTCATATGAAAAATCATATAAAATTAACGTGATCACATAAATTTTATGTGAAATTCAGATGAATTCCATTAATTCCAATGGAAGCTACATGAAAACTATTTTCGGTGTGGTCGATTTCACTTTCGTGCACTGAGAAAAGAGCAAATTGAAAAATGTTCCACAACCATTTTTTTCACAACCTTTTTCGCTAGCGAAATTTCACGATTCATGATAACTGTGGAAGTGCGTCTAGAACACTAAGTTGAGAGTCGACAAAACGCTCGCTGCAAGAGCTTTAAGCCTAGAAAAAGAAAAGGACGTAGGGTACGGTGTGGCAAGATGGGTGGGTCATCTACTTGATTTATTGTATATGTTTGTACTGCCGTCATACGCATAAGAGTCCCACGGTGCATAAGGATTGCATAGAACGTGGGAGAGTTATGCTTATAACGGCAGTGTATGTCAACATCAAAGGGCTCAACCCTAATAAAAATAACCATAAAAGAGAGCTTAACGACGTGTTCGGGGCCATTTGTGGGATAGTTTACCCATCCGATATACAGTTCGTTTATGGTATTTGTTTATTAGGAAATGTAGCCGCAATGCTAGTTTGAAAAAGCAAACCATCATCGAAGTTGCGTTGAACCTGTCGATATCGCGAAACAAATAAAATAATAAATGTACTAGCTGACCCATCTTGACCCACCTGTGCTAAAACACTAAAGAATCGTGTAGATGCATTCAGTGTTTTTTATGAATATTCTGCGAAATTTACGTAGGGGGAAATGTCGGCTTCGGCAATACCTTAACCTATTATCGTCAGGGGGTAACCAAAGTCCTAGAGCACTCAAATTTGGTTAATAGATGCTCTGAAACACAATGTATCCACATGCCAGAATTGAGCTCTCAAGGACGTTTACCCTATCTAATTTGATAGCCGAAAAAAAGTTACTGTCTGTCGATGTCGTCATCTACTAATTATAATATTGTTATGTATGTACAGTGTATCTCAAAATTGATCGGAGGAAAATTTTTTGAAACATGGTGAAGGATATATTTTAAAAATCTTGGCTGGTGTTTGAACAGATGTTTATAGATGGTCTTTATTGGAAGAGCCTATATGAAGTTAGATTTATTTTAGTAAAACGCTCGATTTTCAACTTTTTACCTAGTGCACGAATTTTTAATAAAATTAGTCGCAGATCAATGATCTTTGTTACGACTAAAAATGAGCAATTTTAAAGAAGTCAAAATCATTTTATTTCAAGAAAATGAGGTTTTTTCAGGAAAAAGGCGTTTTCTTTCAATTGCTCTAACTTTCTTGTAAAATCAACCAAATATGCCTAATACTGAGACAATAATTGATAAATGTATGCTGAGTCAGCTGCCAAAAATTCAGAGACGTATCTTTTGACTTGTGATTTTTTTCTAAAATTTAAATACAGCTCAGTTACACTGTATGTACATATGCATATACAATTCACCGACAATGACTGACAGTGCTTTGATGAAAGAAGCATGTCTCCATCTTCTTCTTCTTCTTCCTCGCATTGCAAGCTTATTGATTATCGCATATTAGCTTATTGCGTGCTCTCCACTTTGTGTGCTGTCGATGTCTGTACCATTTCTGCATTAGTATAATTGTGTGGCAAGTACAATCATACTCTATGCCCAGGGAAGTCGAGAAATTTTCCAACCCATAAAATTCCTAGACCGGCCGTTGGAAGGTTATAGATCTATTGTAGATCCTGCGACCAATTTAAGAATAATTGTTTGTACACGTGCATTCTAAGGCTGCTCTCACATACACAATAAGCTCACACATTAGCTTTATCAAATGGATAATCATACCATACACACTTTCGGAGGATAATTTCGAACCAAGTGCGTATTTAATAGATGCAGTAAAAATCAATTTGTTAGAACTTGATAATTAGAAAGATTTCACCCAACGTTGTGGATCGACATTCATGATGAAATAATTTACTCGAATCCTTCATGTTGTTATACCTAGTAGGACCTCTGCAGATTCGGTTCCTTCCAAAATTCAAATGAAAAACGTTTCTCATAGCACTAATTTTACAATCGGAAAATCAATCCAGAACTAAATCAAATTAAAACAATATCAGATGGCCGAAACACTGACAAATGTTCGCAATAACCGTGACTACCGTTTTAGCACCATATTTGACACGTTCCTAATGATGACGAACTCGCGTATTTTTTTTTATCGCATCTCGATTTTGACAAGATACCTATTTGTTAAAACCTTACACCACCGTCCCTAGAGCACTGAAACTTATATCTGCAGAAGTAACATTTAAAAAATAATCATTGAAAATATTCGAACATTCTGGAAGCTCGGCTGCAGATTGTGAAAAATGCAAAGCTCACTTGTGAATTTCTATTCTTTTCGGAGATAGATTTCTCTCTCCGGCGTTACTACCTACTTACCCCTTTCAGCTGCTGCATTCGCTTCATTGCAAACTTGAGCGAAACGGTGAGACTCTCAATTCTGAGGTTACTGTCCTTCACCGGTTTATCACCGGAATCCTCGTCGTTCGTAGAATGTGCCTTGATGCACTCGGGACAGTTCCATTTTTTCTCCACAATAAAGAATGCCGGATTTAGTTTGAGACAAACCGGATGGAAACAGCGGATGCAACCGGCACAGGTTTCTAAGCCCGGTTCACACGTCTTGCATCGCCAACAGAACTTATCCCACCCAAGCTGCACATTAGAGAAGAAAAAAAACGTTTTTAATTAAAGCTTGAATTTAATACTTTCCTAGTGGAAATGTACCTTCGGTGCAACCGGTATCTGCAATTCGGTTCCTCTTCTAGCATCCTTAGATACGCTATGCCGATCTCCTTCGTTATCGGAATTATCCGATCCATCACTATGTTGAAGGATACTGTTGAGGAACTTCTTTTGCTTCATTGAAAATTCAGCATTAGCCGAGCGCATTCCTGAACGTTTCAAGCTCGAGGAAGGACTACCCTTGTCATCATCTAGCTCGTCGTCGTCACGCCCTGACATGGAATATCGCTTTTGCGAGGTAGGAGTCAAGCTGCCACAACTGCGGCTATCCTCGCCTTCGACTCGCGAGCGGCGTCGTTTTCTCAGCTTCTCCGACGAACATGAATCCAACATAAACTCGGTAAGAATTTTCGAACTGCTTTGAGAGGCCTTCAAACATCTCATTTCGCGAGACATCCGCGCATTTCCGGTTCCGATGCTGCTACTTTCATCGGGGTTCTCGCTTTCTATCGTTGAGTGTGCTTGGAGATCTTCCGGTTGTTCCTTTTCGTTGGAGTCGTCAGATGGAGTCGGGGAGCTGATCTGTTTGTTGCTACTATCGGTTTCCGTAGAAGCAGAAGTTGACGTATTCGAGGATGAGGTTGTGGTTAATGTCGAACAAGAAGACAACGAAGACAAAGAGTTGCTCTCAGTCTTCTGAACCTGCTGGTTTGCACAAGGTTCCTTCTTTTCTGGAAGGCTTGTGGTCGGTGCAAGTGATGCAACGGTGGAAATCGGGATTGACCCAACATGTGCGATAGGCCGCAAACCTTGAACACTTCTAGCCAGGGCAAGCGTTGTAGGTGAAATACTACTTCTCACAGTCGGAGCCGTAATAACCTGGGGGCCATTCTGTGGCATTTTCGGAAGCATTTTGACCAACACTATCTTGTTTTGAGCGGTTTTGAGCTGTAATGTGGGTTGCTGTGCTAGATTTATGTTCAATTTTTGTGGCGTAGTTCTGTTGTCAGTTTTATCTGAAACAAAGTGGAGGTTTTTAATGCTTTTTGCGTTGGATTCGCCTTTGGACACAGAGCATTGGGGAGTTTGTTCGGCAGTTGCCGGCGATTTCTTGATAAAGTACGCTTTGATGGTTGGGGTTGTTTGTCGTTTATCCTTATCAACCATAGTTAGAGATGGTTGAGACTTGCTAGTACTAGCTCTATTACCTTCTAACGGATGGGTACTAGTGATGATCGATTTTGTATACCCAATGCCAGTTCCACTCTCATCTTTTGTGAGTCTTATCTTCACTATGTCCTGTTGCTGTGAGACAGTAACGACAGGCTTTGTAGGTGACACTTTGTAGACATTTCGGCTATCAATCATGGAACCAGTTACTGGCTGCGTCATTATGCCCTTCGGCACCGTTGGCCTATGGGTATCTGCATTCTGACTCCCGGACGACATGGTTCCACCTGGAAATTAAAAAAAAAAAACTATTAATTGCAGATGCTTTCAATACAGATTTCGAAAGGTTTTCACACTTCGTGTACTTCTGAGCTCGGAATTTCAGACTGCGTGTGCATGGGAAATCCGAAATCGGAAGCGATAATAATATTTTTGTGATATTTCTAGCGTTCAGAAACATAAGGGCCTAACTGCGATGATAATCGATTCTCTTCATCGATTTTCTCTTCGCTTTACCATAGTTTATAAACTAATTTTCCGAAATTATCACAATCCAGCTTTCCATGCTCGGTAATGTCGGCCTGTTTGTATGAATAAATATATCCTTCACTGTGCTTTTGGACACTATTGGCGTTGACGGAGACTCTGTAGCTATTGGTAAAATCCGTAAGCAAACGTCAAACTGTGCGTGAAACATGGCGGACTTCGTACTATCCTTTCACTCCACCGAAAAATCCCATAAGAAACTGCCAATTTTTTCTAGAAGAGACAATTTTTCGACGGTGCCGTCAACGCCAATCTGGATGTTCGGATTTTGACCCCTCCCTTTCCCTCTCCCAGGAACAGAAGAAAATGGAACAACATACACCCTCCAATTAGTGTCAAAAAGCACTGTGAAGGATACATTTATTCATACAAACAGGCCGTCATTCCCGAGCATGGAAAGCTGGATACAATGTAGTGAAAGGTTATTAGCTAACAAAAGCAACATCAAACCCACCGACAGGGTGTCCATTCAAATCCAATTTTTCAGTTCCCGCAATTTTCCATTTCACGCACGTTCCCCAACGCCGCGTAAAATTGTTTATTATTTTCCTCGGGTACTAACCACAAAATGTACAAAAGTCCATCTGTCAAAATGTATTTGCCATCGGTTTATTATTCACATTCTTCACTACACGCTCATCTGATTTTACTCTAAAATGAGTAACTTTTACTTAGTTTCGTATTTGTATGCTATATGTCAAAAACTGAGTAACATCAATTTAGCAAAGTGAGAAGCCTTTACTCGAATTAAATAAATATGGAACTTTACTGTTTTGAGTTAGATCAAGTGTAATAAACGTCTGAGAAATGTTGAAGCCTGGAGTTGAAAGTCAATTCCCCGAAAAATTCCCACAAAGTGTTGAAAGAATGCAAGATTCTACTTTTAGTGAAACTGGTCCGGACTCGTCCGGACTACCCTAATAAACAAATACCATAAACGAACTGTATCCCAGAAATGGTTTGGATGATACCCCGAACACGTCGTTAAGCTCTCTTTTATGGTAATATTTTTTATTAGGGTAGTAACTGGCGTAAGTAGCAATTGGTGTTTTTCTTCTGAGATAAGCTTGATATCAGTCAAAATTTACACAGGTCACGTTTTTCTGAACTTCTGGTTGTGAATTTCAGAATCCCAGGTTTGATCCCTAGGCAAGTTCACTATGATAGGATTGCAAGTAAGTTTTATGAGCAAATCGGGAAATAGCAATATATTCAAAAAGGTTTTCATTTCCAGAAGAAAAAAATGATGAGAAACTGATCCGTAAGTTGTCCCAGTTTAGTCCAGAGATGAACAATGTGTTACTTCCCAGATCGGAAATAGCACTTGAAGATGACAACATGCTTGTGGCTTTCAGTGAAATCGCTTAATAAGCAGATTTATTATCATTATGTTGATTAGTGTTTATAAAATCTAATTTTGGAAATAATTCGGTTCAAATCAGGCCAGTAACAAAACCTACCCGCATAAACGCGAACCATCACATGACCTTACCGATAATGGTTATAAATTGTTTATAATCCCTGCTAAACTTCAACTGAAATGGTTATGGAACTTTACATGAACGTTTGTGTGATAAAGTTTTAACCTTATGTGTTATGGTTTTTTGGAAGCGGACCTTACAAATAATGGGTTGTTAAGAACCATTACCATTCCAAATTCTTGTTTTCTCCATACATTTTCGGAAAGAGAACTATATTAGAACGTTTTTACTTATGGTTTGAGAACATTAATGGTTATGGTTATGGTAGTCAGTAAGGTCCATTAATGGTTTTGTATTATCACTCAACTTTACGTGAAATATATCGTGAATTGGTAATCAGTAATTTACAGGCAACCAATTCGCGATATATTCCACATAAAGTTGATCGATGTTACAAAACCATTCATGGACCTTACTGGTTACCATAACCATTACCATTAATGTTCTCAAACCATAAGTTTAAAGGTTTTAGTATAGTTTTCTTTCCGAAAATGTATGGAGAAAACAAGAATTTTGAATGGTAATGGTTCTTAACAACCCATTATTTGTAAGGTCCACTTCCAAAAAACTATAATACTTAAGGTTCAAACTTTATCATTAAACGTTCATGTAAAGTTCCATAACCATTTCAGTTGAAGTTTAGCAGGGATTATAAACAATTTATAACCATTTTAGGTAAGGTCAATTTATGGTTCGCGCTTATGCGGGTATACCATCAGCAGCGTTTGACAGTAGGCAGCATGTCCCGGGCTCAAATCGTTTATTTTGCTGTTTTGGGCCCGCTGTCACGGTATAACATGTTGCCTACTGGGCTGGTTCAAATAAAGTAAATCGTTTTTATTTTGCTGCACAAAAGCTTCAATAAAATAATTTCCTCTCAAAATGTCAAATTTACTAAACTGAGTAACTTTTGTTCAGTTGTGCCTATATTGCAAAAACCGGAACTGAGTAAATGCAACTCAGATTTTGTCAAATGCAGATATTACTCAAAAGTGAGTAAACATGGAGTTACTCACTTTAGGGTACTTCCACTTTTAACGAAAGTGAGTGGAATTTTACTCACTTATGAGTAAATTTGAGCGAGCATGTACCACACTCTCACATAGTTCACAAACGAACATGCACGGTGTCCATTCAAATCAAATTTTTCAATAAACCCAACTCAAACATCACCCCTGCCCTTAAACAAAAAAGTCGTCCAAAAATAATTATTTAGAGATAGTCATATAATTGTTAGAGCAAAATTGCTCTACAATACGTCTACTTGAAAAAAAAAAGGAGATAAGATTTACATTAACAATCTCATGGAATCATGAATTCGTATAAAATCAAAGAGTCTCTCTGCAAAAAATACTCTTCCCTGCCAATTAAGAATCGGTACGCTTTCAATCGGATGTATCTCAGAATCTTTTTGGTTTAGAATAAAACGTAATTTGAAGAAAATGTTATGTATTTTGTACTTTAAAGATGCGATATGGGTTTTGCGATTTTTATTCCTTTCACATGAAAATTCGAACTTTGGGCTTGATACGTGCCATCAACTTCTGCAAAAGCTGCTGGTCAACCTTAACGGCTTCTTTTTTTCTAGTATCTGACCATTGAAATAGCATCCTTAGCCATTTTCCACTCTATTTCAGTAAGTGGCGTCGCGTAACCTCACTTTTTACCTGTGCACCAACTTTCAAAAACAGATTTAATGCCATATTCATACTTGAATCGATTGAAAAACACACTTAATCTTTTAGTTAACTCGATATCTATCCATTGCAAGCAATATGTTGATGATTGTTTATGTTTTGAGAGTTGGTGCACAGGTAGATTGAGGTTAAGGCGACGCCACTGTATAGCTTTGATCATACCCCAATACATTTCGATTGGGCCGAAATCCGGGCAGTTTGAGGGTTCAATGACGTCTACTCCATTATCGCGATACCACTGTTGCGCATTCTTACTATAGTAGCAACTCGCCAAATCTGGCCAAAACTTGACGGAGCCCCACGGTGGGACCTAATGAACGGCAATACACGGATTTTCAAGCATTCATTGATGTATAACTTTCCGTTCATATTGTTGGTTGTGATGAAAATCGGAGTCTTCTGGCCACAGCTGCGAATCCATGCCGGATCATCAGTTTACCGGTAAACTTGTTCGCAAAAACAAATTTATATTTCTTGAGAACATCTCCGTGCAACATAAAACTTCTGTCCCGGAAGCTGCTTGAGTCCCATTTGACATACGTTCCATCGTCCATAGTTGAATTTGGTCAGTATCTGTTCATACAGCTTTCGGGCCGTAATGTTTTACTTTACGGTCCTGTAAGGTTGCTTAATAGGCCGATACTTGAAGAAACCTTCTCGAATGCGTATATTCCGAACTGTACTGCGAGTTTGTTGGCCGCATCCATGTTCGAAAGTCCTGGATTCGCTTATGACGTTCTGACGTAGTTTCAGGTCCACTGTACCGCTTCGACGCCTTGATAGCAGTTCCTGCACAGACGGAGGTTTTGGCCATTTTCAAATCCTTTGCGATCCTCGTACCCATATCTTGTGTACAGAATTAATTCTCTTCTTTTTTCTTTCATCGCGTGGCAATTCAAGAAAGCATTTTTTTTTGCACAGGATTTCAAAAGAAAGACAATGTAAACAAATTTCTGCCAAAAGATTCTAGAACCAACCACTAGGAGCGCTGTACCGAGTCTAAATTGACAGGACTTTATATCAATTCAAAATACCTGAGCAGGAGAAACGCATTATTAAAAGTTGGTCAAATCTTCCTGGAGTTTCGATCCTGAAGTTCTATAAGCCAAACCACATGTTGTGGAATACAAAGATGTGTTACCAAAATGTTTATCATTCTCCAAATTGTGGAGATATTTTACAGGTGAATCGAAATCTAATCTTGTTCGATGACCACTCAACATTGTTGAGCATGCCGGATATCTAATCTTGAAGTTCTGCAGACTCAACAGGGTATACGATGATTAGACTTAATGATAGAATGTGTAAACCTTTGTGAATCCCCATAATATCATTGGTTTGGTTTATTAGGTTTTCCAAAATGCCTGGAGTTCAGATCTTTTTTTTTATTTTTATTATAGTCACTTTAAAACTCTTGGATCATTCGTGCCTTATCAGGGTGAGATTTGAACTTTATTCTACGGTGTCCTGACTAATCTTGTGTACCTGGTTAGGACATAGTGCAGACATTATTTTTTTTAATTTATCTCTGGACCATTCATATTTTGGATATTTTTTAGATCG